CCCACCCTCACAGATGACACTGCGGGGACCCTTCCCATCATAAGCTGCTATTGCCCTCTATGATTGCCATGGAAACATGGGCCCCGACACCAGCCCCTCGGCCTGGAAAATGTCTCCTCCTCCCTCTTTGACCCGACAGGGCCGGTTTCGGTGCCCAGGGCCAAACTCCTCAGGCCCCCCCATGAGCTCCCCTGGACGGATCAGCCTTGCAGACACTCGGTCTACAGCTATGCTGAGAGTGAAGTACGATGTCACATTCACACCATTTCCGTTCTCATTCTGTAAATCACCTTGAGTAATACATAAGATACCGGACCCTAAAAGCAGTCATCTAGTTATAACAAGGGGCTGAATTAATGGATAAACAAACAGACCTGAGTACGGCTGCTGGCATTTTATTAGCTTTATTAGCTCGCTTTTACAATCGCTCTGTAAAAATCGATGATCATCGCTTCCCGTCACCTGATAGGTGCCCATGGAAGCAGCCATGTGACTTAGGATGGCTGCGGTTGAATCCTACCACCTGGACCTGGAACCGTTCCAGTTAAACTGGCAAGGCAACCTTCTAGAAGGCACCTCACAGGCAAATAAGATGAACGGAAGCTTAAGGTGATCCCTTAAAGTAACCCAATGTAACACTGCAGCATCCATGGGATCCCCTGTGCGGAGGGTCATGAGTGGGTGGGGCCCTCTGTGGGCGGGGCCATTTAAATAATGGGCCCTCTGTGGGCGGGGCCATTTAAATAAGGGGCCCTCTATGGGCAGGACCATTTAAATAATGGGCCCTTTAAAGGCGGGGCCATTTAAATAAGGGGCCCTCTATGGGTGAGACCATTTAAATAAGGGGGCCTCTATGGGCGGGGCCATTTAAATAAGGGGCCCTATCAGGGTGAGTCCATTTAAATAAGGGCCCCTCTATGGGCAGGACCATTTAAATAAGGGGCCCTTTAAGGGTGGGGCCATTTAAATAAGGGGCCCTCTATGGGCAGGACCATTTAAATAATGGGCCCTTTAAAGGCGGGGCCATTTAAATAAGGGGCCCTCTATGGGTGAGACCATTTAAATAAGGGGGCCTCTAAGGGTGAGACCATTTAAATAAGGGGGCCTCTATGGGCAGGACCATTTAAATAAGGGACCAACATTGGGCTGGATCCCTCAAATTTAGCCCCAAAAGCAGTCCCTTAGCTGACATGTATTAGTCTGATGACAATTTGTTTAGAAGTTTTTTCGTAATTCAAATAAAGTGCTATTAATTCACATTCTAAATGACGTTATAAACAAACTAAATACAAGACAAACCTTGTACAACATCCATACCTTTGGGATTTTAGCTCTTTGTACAATCTGGCTCTGAAAGCAGGGTCAGTAGAAAGCCTCGAGCTTTACACAGAGACTGCATACACAGTACACTCTCCCTGCATCAAAGAATCTGACGATCTCTTTAGCAGACACCATATTGTAATATTTAATAGCATATTTAATGTCTTCGGCTGTGAGTCTCTAACAGTCCTGTAATACATTACAAGCTCTTTAATGATGCCATTCCTGCAGCTGCTGTCACGCGTGTCTTGTACTGGACTTTGCTATATTTCAAGGTGGACCTGAGCCGCCTCGCATTGTCACAGAGCCTTTCATTCAGACAGAACTAGGGGTCACTCTGCAACCTGTCTCCATAACTCCAATCTCCATAACTCCAGTGTTTATATGATCTCAAGTCGGTGGGGGGCACCTTATCTTCCCCAGGCTCCAATCAGGCTCCCCCCCCCCCCCCCCCCCCCCCCCCCCCCCCCCCCCCCCCCCCCCCCCCCCCCCGCTGTACACCACACGGCACACGGCTGCCTCTGCCTGGCCAAGACTGCTGCGGTTTCCGAAGCAGCCATGACACAATCCAGACCCTCTGGGCCGTGCAGAAAATGTGTTTACCCTGAGCCGCCCCCCCCCCCAAGCCCCCGTCCCACCCCCCCCAAAGATCTCAGAAGTTTGCTTTCCTTCTCAGCTTTGATCCACATGGCACTGGGGGCTGCATCAACGGTCTTGGGTTTCAGGTGCCTGCCTAAGATGTCAGTCAGAGCTCTCTGCTGCTGCTGGGGGGCCCGATCGCACCGTGGCGCCGCCATTGGGGAGGGCTGGGGGGACGGCTACGCTACACTAACCCCCCCCCGACCGCCATGCCCGCTCGTGGAAATAAAAGGAGTCACCTCCACCCCCGGCCGCTCACATAGCCAGACAAATTTTGAGTGTCGCTTTTTAACACAGGCTGTGGTCCTCTTAGATCTAAAAATAGCAGAAGTTCTGCAAGTATGACCCCCACTAGAGTAGTGGGGGAGCGGTGGGGGGGGGTTGACTTACTGGTATACATCCTTGCGCAGTACTGTTCTGCTCAGCGGGTTGTCGGCCTGCGGGGCCACGCTGACGGAGCCGATCTTCAGCACCAGGGTGTCCTCCTCCTTCTTCAACATAGAGTCTGCATTGACACAGAGGGGGTGTGTGTATGTGTGTGGGGGGGTTGCACGATGCAGCTGAGAGCTTAAGGACTCCAGCTACCAGGTGTGATGTGGTGGTGTGGGGATCGAATCCCCCACGGTAAAATCCATCCATGGTAAAATCGCTACCTAAATTATAACATATTAACCTTTTTTTTTTAAAATCATATATCATAAAATGAACTCATGTTGGAAGAAAGGTGATCTCCCTCACCTGCTGATGGCGATGTGTCCTGGGGCATGGGGCAGAAGATACGGATGATGCTGGTGTTGACGTAGATGAGCGGCAGGCTGCTGGATGTCAGTGCCCGGCTGCGCATTGGCTGGCCGGCCGCCGACCGCCCCGCCTCTCGGCAATGTCGTCGGTTCCGTGGTGGAATAACCCGAAAGACACTGCTGGCGGTGACCAGCAGGGGGCAGGAGAGCACCACATCGAAGGGCTGCACCGACAGCAGGATCTCGCGCAGGTACTGGGGCGAGCCGTCGGCCAGGCCCTCCGTGAGCCGAGGCGCCCCGCCGCGGGGGCCCCCTCCTCGCTCCGGCCGCGACGTCAACTTGTGCCGCACGTTCTTGGTGACCGCTTGGGTGTAGGTGACGGACAAGAAGCCATGCTGCTGATGAGATATTTCCAGAGCTTTGGCGGCTGTCTGCTAGCAGCAGCGGGGGGGGGAGAAAAATGTAGAAGCTGATGAACGGGTCTGCGTGGGCTCCAAGTGGACCAGAGCGGTTCTGTTAGCTAGCTGAAGCTCAAAGCGGACCTACGTGGTTAAACTGCATGCATCTTACAGGACACCCAGAGGCCGTCTTCCCAAAACACAGGGAACAAGATCGGGGGCATTAAACACAAAGGTCCCGCCAGGTCCTGTTCAGTGACCGCTGGGTATCCTGTGAGCTCTGTTAATTACGTGCTTTTCTGGCACAGCTGGTTATAGCCAGTCATACCGCAATTCAGGAGAAAAGCCATCCCAGTAAAAATCAATGCAATCAGAAGAGACAAGACGCTTAAGGGAGGTAAAAGGAACAACAAAATAGGCCAAACAATGGCAGCTAACAGGTTAGGTCTGCGTGAACTCCCGCTAACACAAGCAACAGCTGCTCAGGAGCAAATAGCACCTACATCTATGCAGGGGTGCTGCTAGAGATTATGGCCCCCAACCCAGACCAATCCAATTATGTTTGAAAAAATTTAGGGCCCCTTCAGGGAATCGTCCCAGCTACCACCCCCTTTACGGTGCCCCTGCGTCCATGACTTGGATGGATATTCTGCCCCGGACACCAGGCCTGAATAGCAGGTTGAGCTGGGCACAGCCACCCTGTCTCGCACGGTACTTCCAGAGGTCCGCTGAACCATCGGACCAAGCAGAGCTAAACAAAAACAGATTTTGGAGACTCACTGTGCTACCACAGTGATGAGGGCAGATCAAGAATGTTACCAAATCAAAGGAAATGAAGTGGATGGGCCTCCAAAAATGGACCAATCAGCTTCTGAATCCAGAGAGAAACCCCGTGGGGACCTTTTTGTGTCCTTCTGATGGCGGTTAACGGCAGCTCACGCGTGTTGGACGTGTAAAAGCGAGATTCTTACAGGAGGAAAAAAGCCAAAGAACCGGCTGAAAGGGTCCTGCTTGCTGACGGGTCGAACCAGCACAGTACGTCTGTTCAGCTTGTCAGTACAAGAGAGGAGCACCCCTCCGCAGCGGCCCGGGCTACGTGGCCCATCATCCGGGCTGGGGTGGGGCGGGGGGCAAAGGAAAGAGAAGGCAATAAGCTTGGAACTGAAAGAGATTTGTGTTGATTTTTTTTTAGCAAAATCAATACAAAAAACATAGAGAGAGACTGACACAGCTGTAAGCAGCTGTAACAGGAGGTGATGATTGCCGTAGGCTGAGCTAATACTGTTAGCTTAGCTTTAGCACGTCTCCATAGCAGTCATAAGCCCAGGAAGCCCACGGGGTGAGTCGGGAGGGGGGGGCCATCACAGAGACCTGCACCACCCACCAGCCAGAAGTGGTGTATGGGGGGTGGGGGGGGGGGTCAGTATCATGGGCTCCTGCTTTCTACCTGATTTCCTTAGATACGTCAGCAATCAAGGCTTCTGGGAGGACTGGGGAAACTGTACTGGTCTCAGTAGGCAGGAGACACACTGTCAGAATTTTAGCGTGCAGACTGCTTTCCTTCGAATGCCCCCCCTCTCATCCGCAGCCTGTCAGGAGTAGGGCGAATTTTGGCTCCTTAATAACCACCCCCCCCCAACCCACTGTTTTGAGCCCACAGTGCCTCCTGCTGGTCAGCTTCCCCAGTTCTCCTCAGTATGAGGTAAAGCGGCCCAGGCAGAGGAAGGAAGTCGTCTCTAAGGCCTCACCGCTGCTTTCTCCTTGCACTGCAGAATGACTCCTTCAAAACGGCCAGTATGCCAGCCCTCACCCGGCCTGGAAGATACAAGGGCCATCCTGTCTATCTCATCTACGCAATCCGTCAAAGACTCAACTGTGGGCCTGCCGGAGGCTAAGTGTTACAATGACCTGTCTTGAGGCTGGTGTTGAGGCACCTACACACCATGCTCCCCCCCCCCCAGACCTAGGGCTGAACACAGCTACATTGTAGGATGGTGGTATAGGGGAAAGTTAAACTTTAACTATTATTCATAATGACCACGTGTTTGTTTATTCAGTTAATACAGGAATGTTAAATAATAAGAAAGAGTGATCTTTTCGTGCAGACGACGGTCTCCACTGAGCTTATTGTGCATCATCCCATAGTACCTGTAAAATCAGAATTGTTAAAAACATACACACCTCTGTGGACAAGTCAATATTCATCTCAGCACACATCCTGCTGAGCACAAGGGCTGTAAGACACAGCACCCTACTGAGTCTTATTGACTCAATGACCTGCCCCCCAGTTGGGTTTCCATTACAGCCATTAGATGTTTGCTATGATAAGCCCCAGGTTGTTTTCATACAATAATATCCACATGCTGCCCCTGGCATTCCTGCAGTGGTTTCCATACAATGATTCAGCACTTTCTGGGTATATATACACAACCAGTCAAAAGTTTGAAAACTGCTGCTTGGAACAGTGATGGTCGATGCCAGGGGTACCTGACCTGTCAATCGAGATTAGACAGCCTTTCATCCTTCACCAAAACACACCTCATGGTCAAGGACAACTCAAACTAAAGAACTGGCCAGTCTGCAGACCTCCCATTAAAGCTGCTAGACCCTGTGTCTCTGGGATCTGCTGCAGAAGAACTGGGAAGAAAGGTGAGTGTCTGCCGGAGACAACGGCTGGCTATTTTAACGTATCTAAGATTTTCTTGAACGCTACTTCGGGAGTTATTATTATGATTTGTTTTGAGGACTGTAATATGTTTGTTTTCAATTCCAAAAACAGAAATTTGAGATATAAAACACAATGAAAAATCCTAGTTTGCAGAAAGTGTACACAAACCTTTGCATTATACTAAAGTCATTCATATGGATGTTTATTCAGGGTCCTATACTAGACTTAAATACCGAAAAAGAGTAATAACAGAGAGCTGGGAGGACGCCATTTTGACAGAAACTCCTCAGCGTTTGCCTCCTGCCTTCAGCTCGTGCCTTTAAGGCTGCGCCTGCAGACGCTGGCCATGAGGGGGCGAGCTGGCTCCCAAACACCCTCCTGTACCTGTTCCTGTAGTGGTCAATGTTCAGGCTGCCCACTTTACACTTGATCTTGGTGTAAACATCCTGCACGTCCACAGAGGCACTGAGATCTTCCAGCTCGGTGATGACACAGATCTCTGCAAAGAGGGAAGGACCCACTGAGACTATGGTGGCCAAAGGGAATACCAACTTGAAGGGAGGAGGGGGCAGGAGGGGGCTCAGGATGTCACAAAAAGCAAAGTGGGGGGAGACAAGCACCCCGCTGACATTGAAATGTAATGCACACTTCCTGTTTCCTGTCCCAAAAACAACACTCCCTAACAACACTGGATAGCACTACAGAAATGCAGTGAACACCCTCAATGAAGAACACACTAATTACCATGGAGACAGGGATCAAACACCAGAGAGTCATAGTGACGTGATACACCTTATTCCAGGGCCTAATACAGCAACACAAATAATCAAGTTTACCTACTGACAGACAGACTGCTCTACTTACAAAGCATTTATACAGAACACAGGTTAAGTTAACGTCACTTGGAAACATTGGGACATTTTGACCCCAGGCTACAAGAAATCAGATTTTCCACATTCTGGTACAGCTACACTGGTTCTTCCCGTGCCAACAGCTACCCCCCATGTAAAGCATTCCGATTGGAAGCCGGACACTTAAGGAAAAGGCGCGTGGCGAAGATTGACCCCCATCCATAACGGTTTAAACATTACATCATTCATGCCATTATTGCACTGAAAATCAGAAGGCGACATGGCAGGTTGTCAGGCCTCAGCCCTCCACCCCCCCAGAGATTCTGAGACATTACGTGGATAAACAGCTAACAGGCGGTTGGCTGCAGCTGCAGTAGCCCTACCTAGCTGCTCACATGGCAGGTATTAGGGGAGATTCAGCATAATGCCCCTTTAGGATGCTACTAAATCAAAACATGGCCCTGGCCAGCGATTCCCAAAGCACTTAAGCTCTGGGATCTGGCCGCGCAGATGCTAAATATTACAGAGAGCAATTAAAGGTGAAGTCCGCTTTTCAACGCAGCCATCAGTCAGCTGAGGACCGGCAGTTCGGGGTGGGTCTCCCCAGCCACAAGCTGCTCTCCCCCTGCTGGCCGGTGGGAGGTTCTGCAGCATCGCCGAACACCGACGACCACATTCACCCAAGCTGCCTACATCTTCAGCAGTTAAATACAGACCACATGCACCTGCACATCACATGATGTCTTAAGAGTCGCAGGTCCCACAGCACTGTTATAGCGTCGTTCTACACCGCTTGCACTAATGTGCAATGCTGCACTTGCAGACGCCTTTTGTCTTTTATTGCCAGCCCTCATCTGCACTCATCTGTGTACTGTTTATATATTACTTGTTTAATAAGTGTCATGTAGTTATTTGCCAATTAAAATAACGCGCCAGGTTCCTTCAGGCTGTTTAGCATTTACATTTACTTATTTCGTTTTTGCACTAAGCGACATACGAGTGACTGAAGCTCAGAATGGGAGAGCAGGGGCAGCCAGTGTCCCCAGTGAAGCTCAGTGTCCCCAGTGAAGCTCAGAATGGGAGAGCAGGGGCAGCCAGTGTCCCCAGTGAAGCTCAGTGTCCCCAGTGAAGCACAGTGTCCCCAGTGAAGTTGAGGCCTTGCTCAAGGACCCAAAGCTGACATTATTCTGCTCATCACAAACTCCAGGACACAGTTCCCTAACCTGTTGAGCTACAGGCTGTCACATCGTGGAGGGACGTGCAATAGGAGGCGCGGGGTAAAGGTACCTGTCCTTTTGGCAGCAGGGTCCGGAGCAAACAGCTTGACTGTGACCTTTGGTAACATCCACTGCATCCACAGGCTGACCTTCCCACTGGCCCCACCGATGCTGCTGGTCTTCTGCTCCAGGGTGACTGTATCCAGGGACGGAGATTCATCCCCTGCCGGCAGAGAGTCACCCTGGGAAGGACAGAGGGAGAGGATAGCTGTCAGTCAAAACATAACTGATGGAGGGGGGCAGGTATCCTTAGGGAGGGGGAACAACGTGCGGTACATCTCTCTAAGATGGGGGGGGTGAGCCTGGAAGGCCAGGTCAGGTCAGGTCAAGTCGGGGAGCATGCATCGATGCAGTGTGTCGCCGCACCCAACACAGAACGAAAATCCTTGGGATCCCGGACAGCGACCCCCCAGGCAGATACACGGTCCAGTCCCACCATCCATCTGTTGCAGCCAGATGTTACATGGCCGTCCCCTTGGCCTGATCCAGCCACTTGGGTCGTCAGCAATGAGGGTATTGTGAGCCTAATCACCCTCAGGGAAATGCACCACAAGGCTATAGTGCCATAACTGACGCTCCCTCACAATGCAGGTAATCTGCCTCATTCAGGACTCCTCTAGCAACCATTCATTCGACTTGGACCTTCGTCCTTCAGCTGATATCAGGAGCACCACACACCCCTTTCCAGCAACCTCATGATCTCATGAACCTACACGCCCCCGGTGCAGGTAAAACAAAGTAAGGTGACATGGTTTACTTTTTTGCCGATTTAACCTAATTTTAAAAACTTTAATACTTCCGACAATGTGCCGATCCCGCCAAAATCCCCCAAAAATTCCCTGCAAGTTGGAGGACCGCTTGCAGGGCCGGATGCAGTTTAACGTCACACCCAGGACGAAACCCACAAGGAAACTTGCAAGGAGAAAAAACGATGACAGCGTCTGGCAAATGACGACTAACAGTGATGCAAAGAAACGCTGGAATGAGGCCCCGCTCTCCGTAGCAGAGTGGCAGAACCCCCCCCCCCCCCCCCCCCCCCCCCCC